ATTTATATAAATACCCTTCAAATTTTACAAGTTTCAACAAAGTCGGAGGCTTACACCTGAAAAGGTTCCCTTGTCAGTTACATTTAAGTTACCTTTAACATGTTTAAAACTTTTTCACCTCATTGGTTTCTTTACTTTTATTGTGTTCTTTTTATTTTTTTGATGTTATTTTTTTGTTTGCAACATTTCGCCCTTGTGTCCGGTTTACACCCACGGGCCGTTTTCACACGCCGGCGTAGCTCTTGATGAAGCTGCGCACGTCCTTGTTGCCGAGGTGCACGTAGACGCCCGGGTACTTGGGGTCGGCGCAGCCCTGGCCCCAGGAGACGACGCCGACCTGGATGCCGCGGGCCGAGTCCACGAGCGGGCCGCCGCTGTCGTACTGCACGACGAGGAGGTCCAGAATTAAAAACGACGGACACAACGGCATGGGGGCGAACACGAAATTCTGATCTTTTTTTCTAGGGAAGCACCCCTCTTTGCTACAGATTGCCCAAGCAGTAGTGATAACCCTTTTTGAAGTTGAGGAGAGGAAGCCCCCATCGTAGCGTTTCGTAGCTTACCGTGCACGTGTCCTTGCCCGGCGCGGCGGCGCAGATCATGCGCTCGGTGAGCACCGACTGGTACGCGACCACGCAAGATGGCCGCTGCACCACCCGCACCGTCACCTGAAAGAAAAATTGCAAAATTATTTACCTTCTCTAATCCTACAAACACAAAGTGTGCAAGTTCCAACATTTTAAAGCATGCCAAACTGGCATATACACTACACCTGTGTATATGTCACGCCCGGATAAGTAATTTTAATGTTTTCAATTATTTTCAATCTTTCAATTTTATTCCTGAGAAGTTTAATTTGTCATCCATAGACGACTGCAGTTTTGGGGGGGGGGGGGATTTTCAATTTTATCGCAAGTTTTTCTTCTGGAAATGTTGCCAATTTTTTCGGAGGAATTTTGAATTTTGAAATCGCTACACACATGCTTACTATTGTTGATTTCTTTTGCATGTTACCTTGCGCAGCTGCACGGGCAGGTTTGGCGGGCCGTTGCGGCCCTTCTGCGCCGTGGTCAGCCCCCAGCCGCTGGCCAGCACGGCCGTGTTGGCCGAGGGCTCGGCGCCGCTGGCGGGCAGGTGCACGGCCTTGATGGTGCTGCCGTAGCTGAGGGCGGCGCCCAGCTGCAGCACGGACACGTCCCAGTCCTGGCGGCCGTGCACGTACTTGGGGTGCACGACGGCGCGCGCCACGGGCACCACCGAGCCGCCGCGCTGCAGCTTGTCCGTGCCCGCGCGCACCTGCAGCGACCGGGCGTCCTTCCTGCACGAACAAACGGGTCGTTGTTACCCACCGTCACGGACAATGCCAACCCAACGGTCCGAATGGTGCACATATGGCACACACGAGGAGAGGTGTACTTGCAAAAGAACACACGCCGACACGATGTCGCACTCACCCGTACGTGCAGTGGGCGGCGGTCAGCACCCAGGTTGTGCTCAGCACGGATCCGCCGCAGCTGTGCGCCTTGTTGACCTCGAGGGACACCTGTGCATCGGACATCAGAAAGGTCACTTTCACGTATGTAATGACGTCATTTGAAGACTCAATAATAAAAGCATGAGAAAACGTAACGCCAAAAAAAGTGAATGAAACTGACGTGCGTGTCACACACTGGTTGCCTTGCACTCTTTTGTGGTTACTTTTTTTGAGCACTTTAAAGTACAGATGTCATGCGCTTCTTTTTGGATGTTGATGCCCTCCCCCCCCCTGTGCAAGGCAAACAGATCTATATTGTCACACCCAGAGAACCATTTAGTTGATAAAAATAAATCAGGGTTGTAAGAAACAAAATTTAGTTAATTCCTGAAACCGACTAAAATTTAGTAACCCCATTTTTAACTAAATATGGTCGCATCAATCAAATTAAGTCAGCTGGACTAAATTATTTCATCGCCACAGTTAATTTTGGTCCCCAGAACAAAAATGTCGTCGGTTTTGGATTTGGTTCTCTGGACTAAACGGTCTTCTGGGTGCACAAACGTACCTGGTAGGGCACCGTCTTGATGTCGGCCGTCTCACCACCGACGATGTCGAGCCCGAAAGTCTCGTAGTCATCATCGTACTGGTCGCCGTCGATCCCGACGTCAGGATCCAACAGCCCGTCCACATCTGCGCCACGACAGAACGACAGGGGCTTAGAGAAAATGACAAAACTGTTGATACTGGCGAAAACAGCAAATTGTGTGTTTAGCAGTACGCATGAACGCCTGTCACTTCAGCTAAGCTAAACATATTCAATGTTGTTGAAACACGGTTTTGCTCTCCTTCATTTGTCATTGTCGGTTAAAACTGTCTTACTGTTATTTCAAAACTTCTTCCTG